CCATCTTTGAATAGCCAGGTTTATTGGTTCAATTGGGTTCAAATAAATCAGGGAACATCATCATTTTGCTGAAAGAAAAATATGCTATAATCTGAGAAATATAGCCCTAAAGGTGCCGGGACTCCTGGTTATTTGTGCTGACCAGACCAGTCTTTTCCAGCTTTTTAAATGCGTGGACTTCAGCTATCCCAATGGCCCTGTTGGGAGAAGAATTCTGGCAGCTGAAGGCCACACTTCTAGAGGGCACCCAGTTGGGATAGGCTGCCCTGCACTTTGGCTCTCTGTATCCTGTCCTAGGGATCTGCCCTTTTTGCTTGCTCACCATGAGGTTGGGCTATCTGTTGGGGTGGGGGCAGAAATGGATGATGTTCTCTTCAGACATCCTTAGGCTGCTGGGAAGGCAACTTTGCACTTCTGTTCTTCTAGCTCTGCATCCATGTGGTGTTTTTCTGTATCTTCTCATGCAGCCAGGGGCCATCCTACAATGAATGCCTCCATTCCAAAAACTGGTGTATGCTGTGGACACCACCTCTCCCTTATTTCCCTCCACTCTCTGCCTTCATACTGGACTTCTGGGCTGCCATGAAAGTCTGGATTTCCCCCCCTTTTTTCCAGGTATAGTAGTGAAATGCTGACTATTTCTTTTTTCTCCCCCCCCCTTTTTTTTTGTTTTACAAGATGGCTATTTTCTTTCTTCCTGTTATTGTTTTAGCAGGATGAAAATGTCAAAAGTTCTGCCAGGTTTCCCCTTGTAGCCCAAATGACAGGAAGATATTTAAAATGTGTGGATTTTGTTGTTATTTGTTTTCACCAGTTTTCACAAGGCCTCCACCCAGAAGGGAATCCAGCTGATGTTCGCTGTCCTGGCACGGGGAGGTGGAGGGAAAGAGAAGCAGGGGAATCCACTAACTGGGGATTGTGTTAACCATGGTTCAGATAGAACCCATGGCTGTCACTGTGGCTAGTGGGGGAAACCGGCTTTATTTCCAGTGAGTTTACTACAAAACTCTGCAGGATAGAAAAGGCTTTTCCGGCCCTACTGCACACAACACTGCTCAAATTTGCACAGGAGGAAGCGTCATTCCTGCTATTTCCTCTGCTAATACTAATCTGGTACATGATGACCACAAACTGACAGAGCTGGCTGCATTCTCTGTATGACCTCATCTCCTTATTATAGCAGGGTATTTTGTGAATTGCTTCCCCAGCAAATCTGCATGTTGGTAGGATGGAAAAGACTGAACTAGTTAATTCAATTTTCTAAACTTGAAACTGAGTATTCTGAATATGGGTCAGTATGCTGCGTGTATTTCCTACAGTAGTTGATAGAATGTGAGTAATGGTATATTTGGGCATAAAGTAGTCTCCGGATTAGAGATTTTAGCTAGCATAGAATAACAAGGACAGGAATGGCCGATTTTGACCTATTTTTGGTCAATATGCCACAAACACAACTAAATTCTAGTTTTACTCCATGCATGCTCCTGCTATTCCATGCAATGTTAATGAAAAGTTCACAATGTGGAAAAAACTTTTTCTTGTTAGTGTCAGTAATAGATCTGGAAAGATGGAGGTGGAAGAAAAGGAAAGAAGAGAAAGAAAAGAGTGAAGGTAGAACAACTGCAGGAAGAAAAAGCGCAAATTGTGTATGAAAAAAGTATTAGAAGATAGATTAATCTCCCAACAGAATGGATGGAGCGTTGGATGTAAGGAAAGAGGATGTGGAAGCTACTTGGAACAGGGTGGAAAGATTAATGTTACAGGGTGCCACAGAATTCTGTGGAGATCCATAAGGGCTGCACCACTTGCAACGAAGTCAAAATGACATGTGAGTGGTGATGTCATCATGGAAATGCCACCATATGTACTTACGTCATACTTTATGTATGACGTCTCATACAAGTACATAAGTTGCAGCATTGGCATGATGATGCCATCATATGTTTTGCCATTTGTCTCCCTACAGATGACCATGGCTAATGAGAAGTATGGAAATGGATGCTGGGTAGAATGATGAAGGGAAAGAAGATGTGGCTGAGGAAAAGAGTCATATAAGAGAATGCTGCAAAAATGAGGATCAGAAAAATATATTGTATAATGTGTATTCTGTATGAAGGAAAAGATTGTTGTAAGGAATGGTTAAGATGAAAAGTGGCAGAGAAAATGCAGAAAGATTTTGATGGAAAAAATGCTCTGAAAGTGAATAAAAAGGGGTGAGTGACTCTAAAGAAAGAGTGAACGGAATTCAAAAGAAAAATGATGACATGAATTGGGAAGGAACTAAAATGGAAGAATGCTGGATTAAGTGTTTTAGGGATCTGTAAGGGAATGAAGGTACTACATCAAAAAGTGGATTTGAAATGGATGCTATAAATGCCAGTGTCCAAGGAAAACTGATGAAGAGGAAACCATAAATACCGTGAGAATATTGGAAAAATGGTAAGGCTCCGGATGTAGACGGCTTAGGGATATGTTTTGCTTATGGACTGGCTCTGTGACTTGTAATGACATGTCTGTAAAACTGCATCTTTGCAGTGCCTGAGAATTAGAAGAATGCCATCATTGTTCCCTATGCAAATAGAAAGTTGCATGAGGGAACACATATACTACAATGGGTTTATTTTTTGAGACTTTAAGCAAAATTCTGATTGAAAGGGTACAAGAGGTGACAGCGAGCAAAATTTGGGAAGTGTAGTATGGCCTTGTGCCAGGCTGGAAGTATAGACGAGATTCCCATTCCTTTATATGGTTCACCTTCATAGAGTTCTCAAAGAAAGTTCATTGTATATTGGTTGATTTAGAGCAATGTTTTTCAAACTTGGCAACTTTAAGATGTGTGGACTTCAGCTCCCAGAATTCCCCAGGCAACATGCTGGCTGGGGAATTCTGGGAGTTGAAGTTAACACATCTTAAAGTTGCCATGTATGAAAAACACTTATTTAGAGAAAGCACATGATAAAGTGAATTGTGAATTTTAGAATATTTTCTGCAAATATAGAGTTGAAAATTGGTTGTTGAATGCAGTAAGAATGTTATATTATGGAAGAAAAGCTTGCATGAGAATAAATGGACTGCTTAGTGAATGGTTGGACACCGAGCCAGCAGTAAACAAGGATGTGTGATACCCCTGTGGTGAATGGGCATGCAAGCCTACACTCCATATTCACTGATAGCAGTGGGAGTCTCCATACACATTCAAGCCAAATGAAGCATGGCTTGGAATCACATGTGCAGGGAATTGCCCTCAACCTTCTCCCTTTTGACAAGAGAGAAAAACTGTCTTTCAAGAACAAAGGCAGAAGTGAGGCTGGGAGAAGTAAATGCATAATTGTCTGGCCATGAAGTGACATGAAAAAAGTAAGTTCAGTAGATTTTCAGGAAGGCTCTATTTGAATGAAAGAAGAGGTAGCTGTAATGACACCTATTCGACAGGGACAATAGCAGCAGTCCAGGATAGATAAATAAATAGACAGATATTTCCTTTTTAGAATTTCTTTTTCTAAAAGGACATTGCTGTTTTGCGCCTGACCCATGGGGAGGAGTCTAGTTTGGGACTTTCCCCCTTTTCTTCCCTCTTTTTCTTAACTTCTTGTTAGCAAAAGTTAACAACATCAACACACAAAAGTTACTTTTATTTTTAACTTCTGGCTTTGATGGAATAGCTGGGTTAGTATTAGGGGGCAGAGTTCTGTGATATACTATTGAGAAATGGGAAGACATCTTTGCTCCCAGTAGTTCCTGTGAAAAGGTACCCCACCATTTTGCAGCCCCCTGTGGATGCCACAGAGAGCAAATTCAGCCAGAAAGAAGAGGAAGCTGATCTACCCATTTGCCACAGGATTCCCACACCTGTGGCTTTCAACTCACTTGATGGAAGGCAAGAAATCTGGTGGACAGTCAGCATCTCCAGTTGCAAAAGAAAGTATTGGAGATGCAGAGAGGTATGGAAGGAAAAGAACCTAATTTGCTTTTAAGAAGCTTGATTTTTTTTTTTTTTGGTTTCCTTCCAATACAGCTTTGTGGGATAGCTGGCAGGAGTGTGTGACTGTCAAAAATGTCTTGAAAAGCCAAAGCATGCTTTTTTCCATGTGGGTTAACACTCAACACCTGAAGAAGTAAGAGTTAAAAGGCCTAACTCCTTTAAAAATAAATATGGGTATTTTTTATGGGTATGTGCTTATCCACATTAGCAAAAGAAAAAATAATGGAGTTGCAAAACTGTAGCAAGGAGTTTGCTGGGAGATATATTGGACTTGGCATAGTCACCGGCCAAAAGTCATCACAGTACTCTTCTTCAGCTCAAATGAAATCTTCAAGAGAAACGACTGAACTTATTTTTTCCACATCACATCATGATCTAACGATTATACCTTTGTTTGGAGGTCTTAAATTGCTTCCATCCTCCTTTTTGTTTTGATTTTTAGTGGTGATTGTTTCCAAAGAAATAAATTCCTAAGCAAAATAAATCCTCTTGCACCAGTTTCCTTAAGAGGGAAATGAGACTAGCTCCTCTTACAGGTTAAATATGTAACCATACAGCAAAGAAATTTAAAAGGTGTCAGTCAAAACACAGGTAATTTTGCAAATTAAAACCAACACATGTTGAATTAAAGAATAAACATTTATGGTTCTTTCACCTGATGGGAAAATAAAACATGAAAAGATTTCCCTTCCTGGCTGTCTCCCCCACGCATACCAACAGGTCCAAAGCAGGAACTTTAAAGAAGACTGTTCCAGCAAGTTATTTTTAAAACACCATTCCTATAACAGCCTGGACTGTGAATAACTCACTCTTTGTTGTCCTGAAGGTAATCCTTCCTTGGACTCCCCCTTTTTGCTGAGAAAAGGGGTGGGCAGTTTCACCACGGAGGTGGTGACTGGCAGACAGTAATTAGTTAACCCATCACTCTGCCTCGATCCTGACCCTCCTTCCTTTCTCCCCTCCCAGAACCTGTGGTTAAATACAGCTGAAAGAAGTTGCATGAAATCATCAACAGGTTCCTTTAAAAAAAAACTGAAAGAAATTGATCATGGGGAGGGAATGAGTATTTCAAGCTGAGCCAAGTTTTCCTGCTGCATGGGGCCACAGAAATATATATAAACGAGCCTTAAATGTGCTGAAGCTCTGTTTGTAAGCTGCTAAAAGACAAGCGTCCCTGGACCCGTCCAATTGCCTTTCCAGCTCCTTGAGGGTTTTAACGCCAGCGCAATGAACAGATTTCTATGCTGCATGCTTGTGGTAAGTCTTTGCCTGAAGGTCGCTTTGGAAAGTACAAAGTAATGATGTTATTTCTCTCTGTTTCTTTACAAGCTGCATTTGCCTCCTTCAGTGTTTAGTAGCACCTTGGGCTGTTGGAGCAAATTTTGAGCAAGCTCCCCTTTACTTCTAGAGGCAAAGGCAATACCCTGCCACATTTCTGAAGGAGGATCTCCTGAATCTCATTGCATCTTCACATGACAGGACTAAAACCATTGCAAATGTCATGAGCTGGCTGATAGATCATGGTTGTCTGTGTGGTTGTAAACTATGGAACAACAAGCAAAATTCTATGGGATGGAACCAGACAGAGCATAGATGTATTTAATTTTAAATGGGTCTGTATGAATGTAAGAGACTGCTGGATACAGAGTCAAACCATCAAGCCATCTTTCCCAGTATCATCTACTGTGATGGGCAAGTCTTCTCCAGAGTCTCAAACTGAGATCTTCTATTCTTTTATTGAGCAATGCCAAGTACAGAACTTGGATCTTTTGTCCTTCTATTGCTGCTTCCCAGTGTAAGTAACTACAAATCTTTGGGTGTTTTCGCATCTAGCTGTATGTACAGAGCTCCCTATGACACTGAAGAGAATGGAAAACTTCCATATATCGGCTTCAGAATCGGTTAATGATTATGTGTGCCATTTAGTGCTGCCCATTCTTCAAGTTCTTGAGTTGCTCTATTACAGAGTTACAATGGGGACCTATCTACTGAATTTATATCCCACCCTGGGAGAATTAAACATCTATAAATGTAATTTATCTCAGAATCAGCCCATAGCGAGGAACAGTAATGTCTGATGTTATTTTGAAACTATATATTCGATATATTTCATTTTGGGAAAAGGGAAAGGCTGTTGATAAAATAACTGAATGTTTCCTTTATTTGCTGCCAAATTTGTTTCCTGTGCACAACTGGTGAATTAATAATGTCATTCACATGGTAGCTATTCAGACAATAAAAGTCCTTGATTTCTGATTTTATATAGATTATATTTTGTTTTTAAATGGAATTCCACCCAGTAAGAAATGTCTTGCTCAAGCTTCATTTCCCCAGTGGTTATAAAGAAAAACTTTGCAGTTGTTTGGCACTACTCACAAAAAGAAGTATGAGATATGAAAAAAGAACAGAGGTACGATTGGAACACGTGCATTGAAGTCCTTATTAGCATCATACAAATCTGAAAAACGGTTCTTAAACTGTCAATTCAATCATGTTAACTGGTCAAACAATACAAAATTCATATGTATTTATGCACAAACATAAGTATTAAATAAGATGGGAATATTCCAGCCCAACTTAAAACACTTCTAATTTCCATGAGGTTCAGTGATCATGTAAAGCATATGTGGGCTTAATTTTTAAAGACTTCATTTTGGCTGGATCAAACCTATACTTATAAAACATACTTTTTAAAGAGTCAGGGGAATTAGTTTTATAATCCTGCCTGTGTCCAAGCCCAAATAGTATATGTGAGGGATGTGGTTGAAGATGCAATTGTTTCTCCCTTTACAGTTGTCACATACATAAATTGAGTCTATCTTCAACAACAGAATTGTCCCTTGCAAAATATGTGATTTAAGTCTTTGGTCTCAGAAGGACTTTCACTTACTTTTGGCTTGCACAAACAAAGAGAAAAAAAGGATACCTACTAGGAATTACCTTGGTATCTTCTCAACTGTCTGTGGTATGCAGATATGGAAGATCTGTTAAAACAGGCTTCCCAAACTGGTACCTTGGAGAGGTTGGGCCATGCCATCATCCCAGCCATTGATCATGCTGAGAGTGCTCCAAATTGTTTGGAGTCCACCAGGTTGGAGAAGACTTGGATGTAAGAAGCCTGAGCAATGAGTACATCCATGAGGCATCCTTATGGCAAAACACTGTAGTAGTATTTCACTTTTAGATCTAAAGGCAAGATAGGAAATTTCAAAGGCTGTCATTCCATCAGCAGTTCAGCATGGAGTTGCCTCAGACCCTTTCACACTAAACAATATCTCTTCAGAGGTTCTTGGTCCCTGGAAAAGAAAGAGAAAGACTTGGAAAATGAAGATGTCTCAAGTGTGCTGAATTAATAGCATTCGAGTTGCATTGTGCTCTTTAAAAAATGTAATCCTTGGTCTTAAATAAAAGTACCTGGTCAGCTTTGGTTGATCCCCCAAAGCTCAGCAGGACTGGATCAGTCTGAAGTTAGACTGAGAATTAAAAAAAAAAAACTTCTGGAAGAACACAGTGTCAAACAACTCTCACATTATTACCAAAACCATCACATGGATGTACCCATGAAATCATTAGGATTTGACTCAAAGGAGACTTTACTTTTTCACCAATTTAAATTTGGAAATACTCAGGTACAAATTTCTATGCAGTCATGAAAGGTTGATTTGGGGGCCAGTGTCCTTGCTCTATCAAATCTACCTAGTCTAATCTACCTTGCAGGATTATTGTAAAATAAATGGATTGGAGTTAGCCAATGCTCTTGGAGAAAGAAGGATTTTTCTAAAAAAAAAAAAAAGTTCAAGTTGTGAGGGCTGCTAGTTATGTAGCAAAAATATCACCAGCTGCATATACTCTGGGTTTCCTACTTTTTCCTGATGTGAGGTAAGCATTTAGAAGTGAAGCTAACACATAACCTATTGCAGCTTCTCCCTCTCTTGCCCTTTTCTCTTGTATAGAAGTGAATAGCCATGTTGGAATGGAGACATCATTATTAAAGTAAAGTATATTCCTTACATTTCCTGCCTCTTCTGTTCTGTATGAAATAGCTTTTATGTTTAATTGTGGCTTAAACACAGGATAAGATTATCTTTTTCTGCCTACTTAATCACAGGGCTGTTCCCTACCATGGTGCAATTTCACCATTAAAGCAAGTTAGCAACCCCCCTTCCCCACAACTAATGAGTCTCGCTACACTGCACTTTCTCTTAACTTCTTCGTGCTGTAGTTCTGGGTTTTGTTGCAAATGGAGAGCTTCCATTTTTAAGTAGCAAATATGCTGCATACTCTCCGGTATTGCTTGAGGTTGTACCATGCAAGGCCATCCTGGAAGAATGGAGGACGTGTTTCCTGGCAGCAGGAAATCATGAGTAGATAAAGGAATCTTAAATGCTTGCTGCACCCAATAAGCAGTAGAAACAGCTTAAAAAGTAGACATAAAGGTGCAAAACTGAGATGTGGGCAAGGCAGCCCTTGTTGGCTGGTTGACAGGAAGTATAGGCTATGATTGGCTATCTGTTCTCTTCCAATACTTTGTTTCTTTGATAGCATCCTGGTAACCTTTAGCAGTTGGAATAGCCCACTCAAGTTTTGTTTCATTGTCTTTATGAAATGTGAACATGAGTAAGGATTCACAGAACAGAGCCATCCTCTTGGGTTTCTCATCATGCTTTAATTAAGTCAGCCAGGTGCTGCCACCTGCTGAAGACACTGAGAAAGAGGAAATGATGAGGAAAGGTAGGTTGCTTCCTTCTCACATCTCACAGGATTCAGCTCCAATTTAAAAAAGGGTGGCTTAATATTTTAACTCGCTGCTTCAGGTAAACTCTCCTTTGGGTTGAGCCAGAGGTGGTGCCTTCAGTCATGTTGGTTTGTATCTGTCAGCAACAAAATAGAATAAAACAAATACATCAATGTCCATTTATTGGCATCAGTATAAATGCATTTATAATTGCCTTCTTCTGTGATATTTCTTAAATTTCAAGGCTAGTCTACAGCCCTTGTATTTCTGGATGGTCCTTCATCCAGGTACTAACTAGATTTGATCCTACTTAGTTTTTTAGGATGAACTATGCCAGGAAGTACAGCCCAAACCTTTGGGGTGTGGTGGTTGAGGTGTTGGATAGGACTGGGGAGGAGACCCAGGTTTTTTAAGTACTGCAGCCCTGGAACCGTACTGGGTGACCTTGAGCCAATCATCATCTCTCAGGCTAGCCAACTTTATTTTATTTATTTATTAAATTTCTTCCCCGCCCATCTCCCCCCAACAACTTCATAGGGTTATTGTTGTAGGGAAAAACGGAGGTGGGAATGTTATGTATGCTGCTGTGATTTCCTGGAGGGAAGTTAAGATACAAGTTGAATAAATAAAACCCATCAGAGACAGAGATTTTAGTGTTTGAGGTTTCTCTATTCCAATGTTCCATGGCTGGCTGGGGAATTCTGGGAGTTGAAGTCCCCACGTCTTCAAGTTGCCAAGGTTGAGGAACCTTGAGCTCTATACACTCTTGCTCATTAGACCTTTGACTTCAGTGGATAAAAAGCCATGAGAAAAGCATTGACGTACAATGCAATGGAAAAGAAGTAGGAGGAGAGCTGAAATGAACATTCTGTTTTTAGTAAGCACTCTGTTCAGACAAAGGTCTCTTAGACTGGACAACAGAGATTCAACAGGCATCCTTCTACAAGCATAAGAGCCAAATGCTCAGCCACTGAGACTAATTTCTCTAACTTTCCAGAGAAATATCAAGTACAGAATGTTGGCATAGAGCTCTAGAATTTGCAGCAAAGTTCCGAGGGTTAGGGAGGAAATATACCTTGGGGTATCCAAGTAGTAAAAGCAGAGGTAATTTCAAGAGGAATGTAGGTCAGGCTGTCATAAATATAGTTCAGCATTTGAATAAACCTAGGCAAAGTCTTTAATCCCATAAGCTTCTGTCTCCTCTGCCCAGTCCAAGGGACTGGTGCTCCTTGGATTGAATTCCAGTGGCCCAACTACTTGGAGCCACAGTTTATTTCCAAAGACAGCACTACTCCCAAAGCATTCTCCTCTGTAATCTGGCTCTTCTCTCCACCTCCTGCATTCAGCTGGGAGATGGTGGTTCTCTCATGGACTGATGGTTATATACATGCTTCACAGACTATCAAGGGGTGCAGAGTCAGGGTGGTGAAGGGGGCACTTTGGGTAAGATCTGATTTCTTCAGGATGGGTCTCCCCAGGTTCTTTATTCTCATCCAGCTCTTCTTGTCTTCGCAAGAGGACTTGTCCAACCCAGCAATGACTTAAGGTTTCCATTTTTCCAGATTGTGGGAAGAAGACATATTACCACAGCAGGTTTTGTCCTCAACAAATGGATGTTCACTATTCTGCATAAAAGGACCTACAAATAGACACCTGTCTGTTGCCATGACAGAGTGGAGATGGCAGTATAGCACATGGAAGGCCACTGATGAATAACTTATCTATCTGTGATGGATAATTATTGATGGCCAACTGCTCTACCATCTAGCTCTCCGCATTGTCTCATGTCAATAGCTGGACCATGTTTGCTTCCTCCTCTGTCATCCTTCCCACCTCCTTGCTGCCTTATAGAATGGAATGGTTGGACTCTCCCTTCCTATGGATCTTTCTTTGCAAAATGGACTTGGACTGGATTGTCTTTCAAACAGAGTGATAAGGTCATCAGATAGAGGACTGCTCACCTAATTCCAGATTTCTGAACTTCTGTAGAGGATGTTCATAAGTACAGCTGTTGTGTGCAGGGCTCTTTTCAAGATATTGTAATGAATAAACTATCAAAATAGAGGAAATCATATTTCTATAATAAAATTCACTCAGTGAAATTGATTAGTGCAAGGTTAATAAATGATCCAAGGAACTGTGGTCCAGCAACTGTTCCTTCAAGCTAGAGAAGTAAATATATAAATAGAACAATCTGGTGTTTATACATGTAACATCAAAAATTCAATACTGAGGATTCATGTTTGTTTGTTTTCATCCACAGCCTTTTTTTTACTTTGTGTCTTTTTTAGGATTGGAAACTTGAGAGACAAGATCTATTTTTTTAACTGGTCTATTCACTGAAAGCCTTTTCAGAAGTGTATCAGGGCTTAAATGGATAACAGACAAACAAACTTCCCTTCTTCCCACAATATGTAATTCCTTACCATGATGATTTGTTAGTCTTCATTTGCTCTTAACAGCTTTCAAAAGAGAAGAAATCAAAGCAGATCAATTGTTCATTAGCTATTGGCTGTGATAGCTGAACTGAATCTCCATCACCAGGACAGTATCTCCCTGAATATCAGGCAAAAAAATAGTGGTTTGGAGATAATCAAGTTTATGTCCTGCTGGTGAGCTCCTATTTGCTGGCTACTGCCGGAAATAGAATGAGAGCCAAGCTGGATTTTTGCCTGAAGGAAAGTACAATGTTCTTACATAATGTAGAAAAGTGAATGCCAGAATTTACAGATTTGACTTGGCACTTGCCCAGCCCTTGGCAGCTGTCTTCAAAGGAAAACTAGGTTTCAGGATGTGTTTGCAATTCCAAACAGAGGACGCTTTATCTGTTTTAGTAAATTCAAGCATTCTTCTGTGGTCTGTGTGAAAAACCCAAAGCCGAAGTGTATAATCATGTTTTTGAATGCTGAAAAACTAGGTTTTTTGGGGTTTTTTTTTTGAAATCACAAGGCTGTGATTGAAAGGAGGAAAAAAAGAGGCTTGAAGGAATATGGGCTGTGTTGGTAATTGCCATCCAATCTGTGTGTATTTCGCAGGGCGGAGCAGTGACATCAGCTTTCATTTGGAGATGAGGGAAAAGCATGTGAAAGTTCAGAATTCAATTAACAGAATGTCATTTCCCTTTCAAAAACTTCTTCTGGCAAGATCACAAAAAGAGAGAAGTGAAGTCTCCTTTGAGTTGAGCTTGACTTGTCAAGACTTTTGGATACATTCATGTCATTTTCTTGATAACAATAGAGAAGTGATTGTCCTTACCTTTTTTTTCTGGGTTGTATCTTTTTTTCCAAGTTAGTTATTGATTCTGTCATTCCTGGGTGGTTCTCTCTGACCAAACACTAACCAGGACCAGCCCTGCTTAGCTCCTTAATCCAGAGAATAGCCAAAAAAGAAACAATAACTCTTTGTACAATACTGGGGTCTTTTTAAAGTTTGAAAATTTGAGATAACATCTGTAGTTTTTAATATTATGACAAAATTTCAGGCTAATAGAACTGAAGATTATATGACCATTGGCTGAAGTTGACATGGCAGAGATTACAAAATTTGTCATAGTGATCTGTGACAAATATTTGATGTATTATGTAGTAGCAAATGTTTTGTAGTAACTTGCCACTTGTAGGACCCGAGCTTCTCTGTGATAGATCTTGATCTTGTTCTGTGAAATTTCTATTTTTAACATAGTATGATGTGGCTTTTAAAATATGGTTTGTGATTGAATGCAATGTGTTAACCCAGCCACTGGGTTCAACAAACCATAGTTATAAAGTATGACTTAGTACTTGAGGACACCATCAGTGTATTACAAAACAAACAAACACAAAACCCTCAAATATACAAACTTTAAAATTGCTTTATTTCTATTTTATTAGTTATTGGACATCTCAGTAAAATGGACAGTCCAGGAAACTCTTCCTCCAAAGTATCTCCATTATGACCCTATGACCTCCCATCGGCTGACGTGTGACCAGTGCCCTCCAGGAACGTATGTCAAGCAGCACTGTACAGCCTCAACAAAGACTGAATGCGCTCCTTGTCCAGATCAATCTTATGCAGATGAATGGAACAATCATGAAACATGTTACTATTGTAATGTGGTGTGCAAGGAACTGCAATATGAAAAAGTCAAATGCACCAGCACTGGAAACCGTGTCTGTGAGTGTATAGAAGGACGGTACCTTGACCTAGAATTCTGTTTGAAGCACACAGCATGTCCTCCTGGATTTGGTGTTGTTCAAAAAGGTATGTATCTCTTTTCAAGAGATGATTTCAAGATTGCTCAACAATCAAAGGCTGTTTCTGGGTCACTTAGGGTGAGTAAAAATCTTTTCCAGGCTGTTAAGTGGAAAAGATACTGCTGTCATCCAGCCAGGTGTCAGGATAAGAGTAACTCTGGTTTATCCTATCCTGAAGATTAAACAAGCAAACATGGTCTGATCTAATTGAAGCAGAATATATTGAAAGACAGTATGATAGAATTGCTAGCAATTAGAGTGAAGATGGAGCTGAGTTCAAATCCCTCCTCAGTCAGGCTCAGTGAATAACCACATAGGATGAACATATACATTAATTGCATTTAATTGTTTTATATTTTAAATTACATTATAATTATGATATTTTTATTAATGAAAGAATAGCATAGTACAAAGAACAAATAAATAGGATGACAGCCATGACTGGGGTCCTTTGGAAATTTAAGTTCCAACTAGGAACCTAGAAATCCAAGTAATGCCACAAGATTTAACATGTCCAGCAAGGTGGGTTTTTGTAAATCCATAGTTGATGTAGCTGAAATACTTAGTTTTTGTAAACAAATCTGTTACATTGCCTAATGTGCCAATAACTAAAGTGATGACTTGATAGCAAGATCTTTTCTCTAATCTAGCTATTTCAATCTTCAGATCTCTACATTTTGTAATTTTTTCCCCAATTCTTTTTCATCAACTCTGCTGTCCCTGGGTCTATAAAAATTACTCTTTTCCTTTCAATGATTGCTCTGTCCAATGCGTTGTCTTCTAAATGGAGATCACTGTATGTGAAAATGCTATAAAATTCAACATCATTATTTTCATTTTTTAAAAATTGTGTGTGATTACACCACATTCTGAAAATGTGGAAATTATATTTTTTCACAGAAGCAAAAAAAAAGTACTATTATTCTTTGGCCCTGGCCATCCTCCCTGTTTGTTGTTGTTGTGGCTGTTGTTCCCACCTACTTTTTGGAGGACATGCTTAGCATGCTGTTCAAAGGTCAAGTGCCAAGTTGGTATAGATCACTAAAGTTTGCCTTTTTGAGAATTTGTTCAATTATCCATACATGGTTACAGCTATTTCTTATAGCCAAATTAAAGTATTAAGTAATTGAAGCATAAAGTATTATCCACTAGTTTTGAACTGACAGAAGCCTATATCAGCATAACATTTGCTACTCCACTGGCAATCCCTAATCTGCCATAGGCAGCTATGCCAGCAAATGGTGCTTTCCTTATGTATTGTATGCAGCACACATTAAGGACAAAGATGGGTGGATTCCCCCCTGGTTGGTCTCCCTCCCCTCCCACTAAACATCACCAGCTAGTAGGAAAATCTCTATTAATTACTCTACTGAATGTGGGGTGAGTCTGGGAAGGAGGCATGTTTTGAAGATAACTAGACTGGAGGTTGAGCCATCGGTCAAAAGTTGCTATGTGTTTGCATAGGTGTTTTGTAATGAGTGAGCATTAAACCTGGGTTCAAAAGCAACCCAATAGCTGACAGGCATGGGAAGATTTGCAACTGTGAAGCACAGGAGAGAGAACTGTCCCTCTCCTACTTCATTGTTCACTCCCCCCAACACTATCGCTATTTAGCCTTATCCAGGTCTCTGAGCCAGAGATTCATTCAGAGACCTAACAGTACAGGAGGAGACTCCTGTTTGAAAGAACCTGATGCTCCCACTGCCCAAAGCAGAATAGCCTCGGAAGACAGTGCCAGGAACTAGTGGGAGGGGGCGCACATACACTCTCCTAGGTAGCCAGTAGATCCCACTCCTTGGTGGTCACCTGACTGTCCCAGAAACAGAATGATTAGAAGCACTGTAGATTGTATCCACAGTAAAACCTATGCTGGGATGGGAGAGAAAACACTATTTAACACTGGTACAGCTAGGGATGAATAACTTAAAGCTATGTGAGATACGAGCTATGATAAGATGAAGGCAACGTCATGAGGGCGTAACATCAAAAAGAAGTTACCAGGGCATACCTGTGCAGTGGTTAGATGTAAGTGAGAAAAAGCTCTTACTAAGATTACTGTTTTTGCCATCTGCTTGGACCTTTAAAAACAAACATCCACCTGGCTTTTAAAATGTCCTAAATAAGCATGCTCCGATGAACATGATGGAGAGTAAATTTTTGTGATGCTTGCAAGAATAATCTCCTCAGACTCTTACCAAAAGGAATGTTGCTGGCAGTTGAGCAAAATATTCTGCTCTTATGATAATGACTAATCTAATGGCAGTTGCAAATTGCATTCTAATGAGAAACATGATGGATTGCCCTCTTTCAGGGGAACATTATTGGAGATGCAATACTTATGGGTGATAACTAATAACATTTTCCATTGGGAAGAATGCCATTCCAAGGCCTTGTGCACCTTGACAAACAGCAGAAGTGTTAATTGATATAGCCCTAGGAGAGTAATTATAACAATATTAGGGTATCAGCAAAAGTCATCATACCTGGATGGCCATAATTAATTACCTATATCACAAATGGATCCTTGTAGGAAAAAAAATAAAGCTGCAAGAAGTTTTCTTGCCAGATTGATTGGTAATCTCCTGTATTTTAAAGTCAGGATAAAGACCATATTAAATGTATTTTGAAAGGAGTGGTGATGGGGAATCTTTCACTGAAGGAAAAATAAAATCTGTCACTGAAGAGTGCGTTTAAAAGACACTGGACAAATTCTGGTCTAGAACTAATAAACATATCACAATGATTCAGCCTGTACTAGTTCCATCATTTAACTTAGTTATTCTTCTCTGACTGAACAGACTTTTCATTGAAAGTGTGATATACCTCCTAATACTGAAGGAAAAAAATAGCTAGTACATAAAGAGGGTTTCCTGTATTGACAAAAATATAAGAATTCTCATAATTCAAATCTAACATGTAAAACAAATGAACAAACCCAAGTTATGTTTCAGGTAAAGTATTTTGTTTAAGGTATATTCTAAATAGAAAATCTAAAGAAATGTACACGAAACTCTTATACTTTCTGCATAACACGAGTTCATTTTGCATATTGGTGACCTTCTGAATCATGGACTGGTTATTTGTTGTCTCCTGTTTTATTCATTATATTTTGAAAACTGCCCATTAGCAATAGCTTTCTTATATTGATTACTGCTGTATCTGCATCAAGAAATCATCATTTCAACAAGCCAGGTTTACAAACATGGTATGATACTTTTAAACATCCTCATTCAAGGTATAACTTGCAAGTTTGGATGTCAAAGCAACTAAGTTTTGGGCAAACTAAATAGATAAATGTGTGTCTTCAAGTCAGTCTTGACTCTTGATGGCTGCCCGGAAACATTTTTGGAAGTGGCTTGCCATTGTCTTCCTCTAGGGGTGACAGAGAGTGACTGGTCCAAAGTTGCCCAGCTGGCTTTGTGCTTAAAGCAGGAGTAGAATTCATGGTCTCCCAGTTTCTAGCAATGTATATAGAGGAAGAAGCACCTTAAGACACAGGACTCATTTCCAGAGTTCTGATGCATAGTGGGAAGAATGTAGAGAACCATATTCTTTTTGAAGCTTATCTACTGATGGTTCAAGCCAGGTACACAGGTGAATAGGGTCATCCCTTTCTCTGCCACTCTTCTTTCTTTTTCTCTTCTCCTCTACATTTCTGAGCAAGAACTGCTGATGAGATGGACAGGTAATTCTTTCTTGCCAAGGACTTGAATATGCAGAGGGCTTTTGAAATTAGTCCATGGGCTCCATGTGTTCTAAGGAGTAAGGAGGCCCAGGTTCTAGTCTGGCCTCAGCCACAGAAGCTTCTTGGGTGCCTTTGGGACAGCCCTTCTCTCTCAGCCGAAGAATCCATGTGGTATAGCAGTGAAGGTGTTGGGATAGGAGCAGGGAAACCCAGGTTCAAGTATTCCCTCATGGAGACCCATTGGGTGATCCTTGGTCAGCCCTGCTTACCTCACTTGCTTGTTGTTGTGAGGAAAAGAGGAAGAAGGAGCATTATATACACTGTCTTGCACTGAATGAAAGATGGGATATAAATCTAATAAATAAATAAAGCTGTGCTTAACTGTAGTCTATAGGAATGCAGTGCAGAAAGCATCAACAATTTTGATTAACAATATTGTTGCAGCAATTTGTAGTTGTATATGAAGACAACTGAGTAGTATGATTTTTTTTTTAATTAAAAGAAAACTTGAAAAAAATAATCCTTGGCACAAAAAGCAAAATCACCTGAACCATGAGTGTGCATGTAATGTGAACCCAGCTACTGTGGTTTGTAAAACATAGTTTATAGCTTAGTATACAGTGGTACCTCGGGTTATGAATTTAATTCGTTCCGTGACTCTGGTCGCATCCTGAATTGGTCGCACCCCGAAGCAAATTTTCCCATAAGGTTCAATGTAATTACCGTTAATCTGTTCCGGCATCCGTGGACGATGTGTCAGGGGCGGAAAAATGGCCGCGGACCACGTGGCACGGTGGAAAATGGCCACGGATCCGGTTCGTATCCCGAGGCGGAGTTCGCACATCGAGGTAAATTTTTGCGGCTGGAGCTGGTCGTATCCCAAAAAGTTCGTTAGCAGAGGCGTTCGTAACCCGAGGTACCACTGTAACTTAGTATGAGAGATCCAGTTTGGTCTAGTGGTTAAGGCAACAGGCTAGAAACTGGGAGAACGTGAGTTCTAGTCCCACCTTAGGCACAAAACCAGCTGGGTGGCTTTGGGCCCATCACTTTCTCTCAGCCCCAGGAAGGTGGCAATGGCAAACCACTTCTGAAATCTTGCTAAGAAAACTGCAGGGACTTGTCCAGGCGGTCTCCAAGAATCAGACACAATTGAATGGAAAAAACAAAACAAAACATAACTTAGCTTAAAACCAACGCCTTAAAGCTCTCTTAAAGATTTTTAAGCAGGGATCTAGGTACCGGTGGCAGTATGCAGAATTAATCTAGATGGAAATAACTCCCTCTCCAAATTAAGGAATAGCCTTGATAGGGAAAAAGCAAAGAAGATGGGCAGTTGCCCATCTACAGTGAGTGCTTGTGGCAAAGAGAACTTAAGCATCTCAACAGAGTGTTTCCTTGGGTCTGAAAGTGTAATAACCTCTGAGATGTCAAGTTTATGAGTCATAATAAAATAATGTCATGCCTTAGGTAGCGCTCTCTTATTATTTGGATGGATGGAGGGGGGGATCAGTTTAGGGAAGAATACTTCTTCAGTGGCCAACACTACATCAGTCCTTATAAGCAGCTCTCACTCATTATTTTCCAGTTATAGCAATATTATCAACAGTACTAATACAATTCTTATCATATATGATCAAAATAATAAAGGAATATCTGTGATCAAAGTTTTTTTGTTTCACACTTGGTGGAGTTCAGGTTCTTTGCTGGAATGATTGCAAAGACTGCAGTTATGAAAGCTTGAAAACTTAATTGCTGTATCAAAGAGGGGTTATATGATCTCATTGCTGAGAAAGATGTGAATGAGTTATTATGTGTTCCTGTGCACGAGTACGTGTCTTCCTAAGTTGAAACACACAGGTAAATAAACTATTCATCTTTTCTCCTAAAAGTTAATGGGGTGATAATCCTAGCTAACAGCTGCAAAGAAAGTTTTGAGAATTACTGATTAAAAGGTCATTTCTTGAGTTTTGTATTCAACATGGGAGACCCTCAATACATTCTCAATGTTTCAGGCATACAATTCAGTTTCTTTGAAATATAGTTTTTGAGTGCATATGCTTTCAACAGGACAGTGGAGTTGGCTTTCTTGAAATGGAAACTGAACACTTTTGCGACTTCGGCTTGCTCTGAACTGTGATCATTTTTGTGTGATTCACGTATTTATTTTGCTAAAGAATCATGGTAGCAATGCAAGACCTTTTTAAGGCTTGGAGGACTTGGGTGGGATATTTATTTGAGCCTCTTCCCCCTTCCCTCTTATTCTGTGTCAAAGAATTCTTTTTTTCTCAGTTGGTTGTTTCCCATTGAAGTAAATGGCTCGGTCAACAGGCACATGTAGGAAAACCCGCATAACTTCTTGTAAGTTGTATTGCTCCTAATCCATCTGATCATTTCCAATCTGGACCCGTATTTTAATGAACAGTGTTTCCGTATGTGCAGCCTGGGTATTAATTCTGCTCCCCCACAGAGACCATAGCAGTCATTCTGACAAGCTTGGCTGACGAGTAAATATGTTGCAGAGTTGGAATGGTAAAGCAAGGATGGAATGTGATCAACAGGATGAAGCAAAGACCACAATATTTGGGGCATTTTCAATTCTGGTGATTAACCAAAAGCTCCTCTTTAAAAGGTTTCAGCTATTTAAGTCTCTAACAATCAGCCCAATAAATGTCCCTAGGAATTCCACAAAATTACATCAACTCTGACTTTTAGCTCTTGCAGGTGAGAACTAAACTTTGTCTCAACCTGTGCTTCATAGGACTTTAAAAGCCTAAACGAGATATGAAGAAATGGCTTGACAGCTAGAACAATACTTTCCTAGAGCTTCTATTTCTCTACACAATGATTTGTATGACGACAATATTTTTTGCTGCAAGTTCCATGTATGAACATAGTGACCTTAGCAGAATTTGTTCTCAAGTCCAAATTTAATTTACTTTTGTAAATCTTTTAGTTTAAGAGAGAGTGGGTGCAAAGAACAGTTGCTTTGAAAAATAGCCGGAAAAAAAAATCAATATATAGCATCTGACGTGTTACTTTGCAATACTTTTTATTTTATCTTGGAGAATTTCATAGTAATCTAGTCATCTGAAAGTAGAATCAATATATAATCTTTACAGAGCTATCTTAACAAATTATGACTTGCCTTTAAAAATCTGTGGAAACTCATTTAGTGTTTCCAAGAACATAACTTACCTAATTCCAGCCTGTGGTCAGAGATAATAATAATTGTAATAATGATTCTATATTGTTCTTAGCAAGGACAGTTTTTGCATAAGAAAGAACACAGATATTTACACCAGGTGGTTTGGAAAAACACAACCATTTTCCTTGGTTTATTATAGAAATGGAAAGTTGCTTAGAAGAGGCTTTAATCTACCCTATCAAATTGGCAGCCCCAAAGCCATCTGTGGAATAGTGACCATGAATTACAGGCTACCAGGTGCTTGAGAAACTCTCCCATTTGTGATTCCAGATTGCTCAAGAGATTAGGGTTATTAAGCACCAGCAGGCTATAATGGAGGTCTGGCTTGCTCTGTGAAACTCACAGAATAGTAGTTCTATAAGCCAGCTTCAGGGAAAAGAAAGTTTGTTGTTTGCTGAATGATACAAAACTACTGATTTTGGTGTCCAGAATGAAAACAGGAGAATTTGTTAAAAATGTTTAGAAATTATTTTATCCATGGCATCATTTGTGGTGACAAAGCAAAGGTTTCTTCATCGGTCCTTCTAACAGCTGCTCTTCTCTTTGTATTTGACAGCAGAGGTGGGTAATAACAATCTGCCATTTTGAAGTTCCCACAGTTCCATCAACTTTCTGACATAAGGTGGTAGAATATTAAAATAACACCCTCTTTTTTGGCATGTTAATTCCTACCAGTACTCTGGAAACATGTTATCACTCTAAGGATATTCTGGCTCATTAGAGGAAATGCAGAATGGTGGATAATTGGGGAATGCCAGGGCAGGGATTTGTATTAGTTGGCTGTCTCAAGGTGCTGAGACCAGCCAGAGACAAGATGCTGCTGCTAATTTTATTCCTAGGGGAAAAATCTGCTGATCAACTATAGTTTTGGAACTTGGGAGTTTAGTGGACTATCCAGTAACCACCTAACTTCAACACTATCCCAATTGGTCTTTGGTTTTTAATATCTCTATTTATACAGACTAACTGACATCCCCACTATTTTGAATGATGTATCAGATATTTTTAAGGCTAAGAAATGCTTTGGATTCCATTCCCAAAAGATGGACATGAGTGGGAATGTGGCACCTGTCTCCCATTTTTTAAGGAAGCCATCTCAGGATCATGCGGTAGTTGTATAAGGTAGCTGTGCAATCATGGGAAAAGATGCAGGTGCTTTAATGAGTTGCACTTCTGGTTCATGCTCTTGTATATTCCAAAGCATCTTTTCCTAATTATCTCTGAAATGCTGGACAAGTCTAGTGTTTATGATATACTGAACGGCACAACCAAGTAGCTGGCATTGTGCCGTTCTGCACAGTGTA